TATATATATATATATATATTAGTAAACAAATGGTGAGTTTGTTGTGAATTGATGTTGATTTTTATGTTAATCTCTTAACAAGTAATACCTACCTTATGAGTGACATGTTAATAGGTTTTTAAAACATTGATTCATTTAGCTAATTCATAGTAAATGTGACTAATAAAGCACACAGATGTATTTTGTTTACTTGCTCTTTATAATAGTTTGCATGCGATGCCGTGATCAAAACACATTTCAGAGGTTATTAGAGATGTTTGTTCATAGGGATGGATGGGGTTACATAAGCATTATTAGAGCTTAAAAACACACAAACACCAAGAGGCGTGGCACTTAATGCAAACAGTACAGCATGGTGCTTGCAACACCAAGGTCATGGGTTCGAATACAGCATGAACTGTTATCATGTGTATCTTGAATGCAATGCAAGTATCTTTGGTTTGATGCATCTGCCAGATGCATAAATGTATATACGTGTTTGCAGATCCGAGTGTCTGATAAGACAGGGATTCCTCTGGACGTCCTGCCGAAACGAGGCCTGACGGCCAAACAGGTGGAGAGGATGGAGAGGATCAACGACTCGGACCTGCCCCGAGCCTCCAAGCAGCCCCGCTCACGGGAAGAAAGCGCAGAGGAGAAGAGAGCCAGGAAACAGGCCATCAAGACGGAGAGGAAGGTGCGTACAGTGCGTACACCTCCAGATCCACCTGGCAGCGTTTTGTTAGTCTAATCTGATGTGTCATGCGGAAAATAATATTAAATATTAATCTAACACAGTTAATGTTGTGTTTACCAGTGATCACAACCTGTTATCTCTGTGTTATGACCTGTCAAGACATTATTAGCTTGTTGAGAAAAAGTGTGCTGGCACTTCAAGTTGTCAGACTTGGGATTTTTTGCTTATTTTATAATGAAATGAGTGGGAAAATCCCGCATTAGAAGGGGAAGTGTGCTCGGTATTAACCACTTGGCAGTATATCTGCCTAAAAAGCACCACGGCAAACCCCTTTATTTGTTCATTGTTGTTTTAGGAGAGGAGGTCGGAGAAGAAAGCAAACAAACTGGCATTCAAACAGGAGAAACAGATGCAGGAGAAGCAGATGGTTAATTTAAGAGCAAACGTTCAGGGCCTGAAGCTCTCGTAGGACTGCAGAGACGCTCCAGAGACTGTCGACATCACTGCAATGTTTCTAACACCAGCGGAGACTACAGGACCTCACTGAAGACACATCACTTCGCAGGTTACACTGTTGCAGTGCGTGATGACATTATTTTCCTTACCAGAACGTCCATGTTTGTTTGACTCGTACAGTGAGTTGTAATGGAAACATCATAACAAATGGAATCTATAGAAACTGTTCTAAGTTTGACTGTTTGAAGGTGAACGGGAGTTCATTTCTTAATGACTCCGCAGCATTTTTTGTACAAAAAGGTAATTAAACATTCATCATATTCAAAGGTTTTCAACCAGTTATATTAAAAAAACAACAACACACAAGTATTATTTTTTCCATAGAATCCCATTCAGCTTTTAATAAAAACACAATATGGAAAAAAAAAAAAAAATTTTTTTTTTTTTTTTTTTTACCAGTGGCACAATATTGAACAATGCAAACTATCTCTTGTCCTCTCCCATCATTGTTATGCAAAGTGCATAAATGCCATTCACAGGATTTGAACAATAAACAACCTTGACCTCAAAAGTTCAGGTTGAAAAGTTCAAAAGTGAGCAGGTTGAGCTCTGCAACATGACCACGTGCTCGGTGTTCACATCGTGTCAGAATTACAGCGATTATGAGGCTCTGAGTTGACAAAAACATTCACATCTTTGTTGGAAATTGTAATTGAAAACTGGTTTACAAAAGCTTTGTCATCATACAAAAACAACAGTGTCTTTAAAAGCTAAAAGTTGTTTAGTAGCAACTTCAACACACTACTGTTCAAAGATTTCGGATCAGTGACGTTTTTTTTGTCTCTTCTGCTCACCAAGGCTACATTTATTTGATAAAAAATAAATT